CAAAAATGAAAATCTAAAATATATCTAATTTTCAATGTATACATGAAAATCGATCTTAACTTCGAAAATGGAAAAATAATTTTAAACACTACTGAAGTATTATTTTAATGGAAAATTGATATAAATTTAAATATAAAATTAATATTTGTATTAAAACTCAGAACTACTGGTAGAAAAAGAATAATGATTATAAAACCATAAAGCAAATGTTTTCGAATTTATATTTCAATTCGAAAACAGTCAAAGTGATTCAATAAATCAAATTTAAGGAAACGAAACTTAATTTCATTAGCTAAGCACAAAATTAAACAAAGGGGTATCTGTGCTGTGCCTACGGTGGGTATCGAAACCTGATTTATAGGTTGTAAGCCCTCAGAATTACCGCTAAGCCACTGGAGGGTTAAGAAAATATGATTGTCGCCTTTCTTTCGCTGGCTTGGTTTAATTTTATATTTACAATTTGTTGCATATATATATATATCATGTGTGGTATTATGAGACAAATAAGTTGTCATTCAATACTGACACAAACATATTAGTAAATTTAGAAATATTAATTTACTTTCTCTTTGTGAAAATTGATATGCAACATATGCTGCATCATTACATCATATGGGGCCAGGCGTGGACAAGTGGTTACGGCACTCGACTCGCAATCTGAGGGTCGCGGGTTCAAATCCCCGTTACACCAAACATGCCCATTTTTATTCTCGCGCAAGGCTACACGAGGGCTATCTACGCTAGTCGTCCCTAATTTAGCTGTGAAAGAGAGCGAAGGAGCTAGTCATCACCAACACCCACCGCCAACTCTTGGGCTACTCTTTTACCAATTAATAGTGGGATTGACTGAAACATTATAACGCCCCCACGGCTGAAAGGGCAAACAAAATACATAATATGGTTTAGTAGAAAGGATAGTCGTTTCTAAGCATATCTCAAACCTTTGTAACCGTTTAATTGTTTTGATGGTTCTAATTAAACAACATATTTTCTATCTTAAACTTTGTAATAAGAGTAATGTGATGATCCACTAGAACACACCACGGTAAGAATGAGCTAAGTTTCATATTTAATAGCATTCTCTGTTTGAAACTTTTTGCAATTACTTTGAAAGGAAAACAAGTGGGAATCCTCAATAGCCGCGACACTTTAAATTATTTTAGGCAGAATTAGAGTAAATTAATCGATAAGACCTTGGGCATGGTCAAATATACCAATCGAAAAGGGCTTGACCTCCTGAGTCCAAAACTGTAAATAAATCTCAAATCAATGAAGATATGACGGAGTTATGAGCTAAAAATGTGTACTTGAAAAACTTAACAGACGCTATGCCGCGAACTAAAAAAAAAAAAAAAAAAAATTTGTATGCTTTACAAGCCCAATACCATGAGCGCCACAACAAAAGCAAGTTCCTGTTTTTTTTTTCATTTATAGATACATCAATCATTGTGGTATAATGTTTTTTAGCCGTGTTAGCAAAAGTTAAGAATTCACACCATCGTTTTATAAATAAGTAGAAATAAAACCAAAATGGGCTTTTATAACTTCTTGTATGATTACACCTTTGTTTTTCTTAATCTTATACTCGGAGATTTTCATAATTATAAGTTCTTATGAGTGAAAGCAAAGAATATGTAATAATATGTCAACCATATTCAGTGCCGACAAGAACTTTCCCAATAAAGCACACATAACTTAAAAACGTCTCTTGCAAACAATGAAATACATTTGTGTTAGTGCTATGGCCAAATGCCATACAAAATCTTCGGATATGCCACGTCAATGTATTATATATCGGTTCTCTCAGTGAATGGAATAGACATTCAAATGCATATACTAATACAAACCCTCACCTGTTTGATATTTTCCAGCTCCAAATATGAAGCTTCAGTCAGTGGTGCTTATACCTGGTACGTATATCATCTAATTATCAAAAAATTTTCACTTTATTTAGTTAAGTGTTTATAATTCTCTCTTTATCGTTAAACTATATTTGTATAAAGTGTTATGACATACAAAAACCTGTACTTATAGTTCAAGATACTTAAGGCAAATTACAGAAAGTTTATTAAAATGTAAAACTCGTGTTAGACAAATTTTATGTCTAAAATTTTTCCTGAAAATTTAATCTGTTCATTAGGTACAGAGTTTTAAAAATATTACTTGCTAATTTCTGAAAGTTTTTACCCAATAAGAGCTAACGGCAAGAAAATTATCAAAATGAGTAAAATATTTGCAGTTACAGATCCCCCATTTAATATGCGTATAACTTTACATTTTGCTTTTAACGTGAATTTATGAAAATTATTTTGTAATAGAAATAGGGCTAATTACACAGTTGGAAGAAAATCTCAAGTCAAAAATTAAAATATTCACAAAAACATCATTAACGGTCTAGGCTTGTATATTATATATAGTTTCAAATACTAACTAACTTCCGACGAGGGTTAACAAACTATAATAATATTTTGACACTTTGTTCGTCAACAAAATTACAACGGTAAATAAATCAATTTTGTGAGTTGTTACTTTAGCACTTAAACATGGATACCGAGATCATACACTTTATATCTTTTTCAAGTTTTCTGTTTTAAACGCAGCTTAGTGTTATCTTAACGTTAATACCTTGAACTTTTCCATTTTCTATAGGTATACTTGTGGTAGCTTCTGTAATTCAGGTGAGTTAATCGTTAATTTTTTCCTCACTTTTTTTGTGTCTAACAAATTAGCAATAATGTGTCGTTTTTTGCTGCTGAAACGAACGAAAGAACTGAAATACATTTTAAGCAGCGGTTACGCTCTATCCACAACCGTGGTTTCACACATGAAAATACCTTTGGCTTTAATATCTCAACTATAGCGTACGTTTCAATTTAGTTTAACACCAATCTCGCATACAACCATCACCTAAAAAAAAGAATCGCGCATATTGACATTTTTTCATACAGACTATTTTAAATACTGGTGTTACGCAACGTTTTTAAAATAAATAATTTGGTACCTTACTTAAAGTTACTTCTAAAATTGCAACTAAACACTAAAAATGCCACCTCTAATGGCAGACAATATTTGTAGTTAAAACATAGCGTCAATTAATGGAACTTTCGTGAACAGAAAATAACGTTTGTAGTGTGATGTATTTCTTAAAATGTTATGTTTCAAAGATTCAAGTGAATCCGTTTAACTTAATAAGCATGAACTTACTTGATTGAAGGGGGAGCGTCAAGCTTACATGCAAATATAAATTACACAAATGATCCAGTGAAAAATGTAATGGAGAAGCTACCACAAAGATGATTACCAAAATACTTCTACAGGCGTTCGGGATTAATTTTATTATATACGTTTTATAATAATACTGATGAAATACGTGAATGACAAATTACAATGTACGAGTCCTTCTAATTGGTATTAGGTGAACATTTATAGCATTCCATTTGTTAAGTTAGAAAAACCTCTTGTTTTCTAGTTATTACATTAACATGTGATAGTCAGTTTAGTAAATTACTAGCGTTCTCCACGAATATGTACGAGATGCATTGATTTTCAACATTGCCAGACTGAAAGTAGGCAACATTTCACATAACGTTAGAGAGATATGTTTGTCACAAGTACTACTATAAGTTACATGTTGGTATCTGTAAAACGTAATATGACACTTGTCTTTAACTTTGACAGGGGCAGTATATTAAAGGAAATCAGAACCCACTACCACATCCCACTTACGAGAACATTCCTGTAACCAAGTTTTCTTGCGATGGACGGTGGGGATATTTTGCAGATCCAGAAACTGGCTGCCAAACTTTTCATTTGTGCCAAGGAAGTAATAAAATATACGCTTCTTTTCTCTGTGTCAATACGACCCTTTTTCAACAGAATCCCCCACAGCGATGCGACTATTGGTACAGAGTTGATTGTTCTATTCCATGACGCTTTATACTTTGTCTATGAATGTTTTCACAAAGTAACTGACTGATGCTCTTCTTTGAATTTCATACTGCTAAGTGTTTTACTGATGATTGTGAGTTTTAATTAATACACTGGAAATATAATAGTTTCTGTTCAATAACAATAAACATTTTTACCAGCAATCTTTAATTAATTTTTACATTTTATTACTGAGATATGCTCAAAGGGTGACTTAAGACTTAACTCCTTTTAGCATTCATATATCTTAAGTTGCTAATCACTAGTGTACACACATGTAAATATGTGGGAGAAAGTCACTTACTGACATTTTATTTACTCAAAATTTGAAAAGGAAGTAAAAATTTAAAATAATTATGCAAACACCATCATCTATCTGTAATTTTTCCAATACTGATGAATTTCTGGAGGATTTCACTTGGGTAGTTTTCAAAGATTATTTCCCAACAGTGAATCCTTGTCAGAATAAAGAAATTTCTAAACCAAAACTTTACCTGCATTCTAAACGAATTTTATTTGGTAATAAAGGGTACTTTTTCAACCAAAAGATCCCCCAGCAACCCCACAAAGAAAGTAATTAGCTGAATAACCAACTAAAGTGAAACTAAATTCTGATCACAACTGGGGTTTCTTAATTCAAAACTTCTATAAAAACATCTTACATTTAAAAACAAATAATGCATGCCCAGTGTTTAAAATTTAATGTACATGTTCCGATGTCTTAAAAGAAATTGTAAACAATAAAAACAGACTTTCAGTTCATTTATTTGATCTCTCTTGCTGGTAATACAAACACTTCTACAATTTCAGGATGTACCACTTTAGTTACTAAAAGTTAGAGAGGTGCTTCGTCTTATCCATCATCAAAGAGATTCTGCTTAGAAATGTAAAAGTTAACAGCAGATGTTTGAAGGAGGTTAAAATACTTGTCAGAAAACACGGCAATTCAAACAACCCATGTATTAATTAAAAAAACATTTCTACAGTCTGCCAATTGTATTTGAGAATGAAGAAAAAGTGAAATGAAATTAGCACAGAAAATTGTTTCATTAGTTACACAATCTTTACTCCATGAATAATTAGTTCATTATAACTCTGTTACATTTTATCTTCAATGTGGTAAGGTAGCAGTGATTAATTACTTAAACTAGCATGTACACACGACAAATAAATAACAGAATAAGCTGGACATTATTTATCGTATGGAAACAAGCCAATTAAGACTGGTTGAACTACAGGTCATACAAACAGATGAGAAGCACAAAATGGTAGAGCCATGGATTTTTTAAATGAGAAGAATCAGAAAATTGTAAGGGTAACTTAGTGTATACCATAACAGCTGATGTACCAATTAATTACTTTGTACGTGTTTTATGAAATCCTGAAAGAAGAATTAACTAAAACACTATAAACTAGAGCAATTAATGTGTTTGACACTGTACACCACCAGCCCTATGGTGGTTGTGATCATCATCTTCCTCGTAGGCTTGTCTATGACGATATTGTCTCCTTGCTTCTTGTTCTGGATCCAGATCCACAAGTACCACCTATTTTAAAAGATTAGTGTTTATACTACAGCCCACCAAATGTTTATTTAACCTTATACATTAATATATACATATACACACACACATATACTAATAATGATTTTAATTATATAGAAAGAACTTGTGTTACATTTCCACAAATCCTAAAACTCCCAATTTCAAGCAAAACAAAAACAAAATTGTAGCTGTGTTACTTCTTTGGCTTAATAAATAAAACTTCTAAATCAAAACTTGAAGTAAACTACAACTGACCTCTATTATAACTGCTTTGATTTTTACAACTATGATTACTTCACTATAGATAAATACAAGTTATTTGTATTAGTGTTCTATATAATTCTCAACTACATTTTACTGGTGATTATTACAATGGGCACAAAACCCTCAGCATCACTGTGGAATTTATGAACAATCATGTGTGGATACATAAAAACTCCACTATAGTACATATATGTCTATATGTCTACTTTGACACTGGTTTTTTTCATCCATTGAATGAAATCTTGTATCTGAATATAGACAAATTTATAATATAAATCTATTTTCAAAACAAATACATGACTATTAACAGAGTTTAAGAGGTATTAAAAAACTGTCATCTTGTGATTTGCTCATCACACTTGCTACTTTCAAAGGGATAATGCTTTGCAATATACACCATGAAAGTAAGCGCACCTAGTTATGATAAAACGTTAAAGTTATTTATTAAAAACAAATCCCAAGTAGTTTCACACTTAGCATAGCTCCTTCTTTCTTGGCTATACAATAGAAAATCGTGCAGTTGAACCTTTTCCTTCTACTATTTCAAAATGTCATGTGGCAAGCCAACAGCTATAACAAGCTCATCTCGGCTATGTCTTCTACATATTAGGTTTCATGCCAAGTATTCTTATATGAGCTTCATGTTTATTAGCCACATTTTGTCAACACTTCAAAATCCCTCCTATGCATGTGAAAACCATCATAGTCTATTACAGTAACCTAACTTAAACTCCGTGGCTCTTGAAGAATGTGAGCGTCACCAGAAAAAATCCGGTGGAGTCTGTCCTGACCCTAACAATAGAGCAACTTTGTCTCTGTACTGCTGTTTACTATTTTAATTTTTGTAGATTCACTAAGACAATATTTATGTACTCCAAGATTAAAAAAAAACTTTAATCAAAACTTTGTAAGTGCATGAAGGGCACAGGTGCAATAACCTTGCATGCTGCAAAGTAAAGCTTGAAAGAATGTATTTAAGAAAGAAAATATTACAGGCCTAGTCTTTACCATTACTATATGACTGCTTTTGACAGTTATAGCAATGACAATTATATTTCTTACCAAAGACTGCTTAATAGCCAACAAGTAAAGAGTAAGAAAGGGCCTGGAGATGTGTGTTCAAGATAAAGATGAACAGCTTTATCTAATAATAACCAAGTAAAATGTCATTATAAAGGAAAAAACAATGTTATCAGTGGTCAGATTACTGCATATTTAATCACAGAATATAAATAAAATTTCTACATTAAACTGTACTCAAAACAACTTTTAAAACAAAGCTGGTGATGACAATAAATCAGGGTTTTTGCACATCACAAGCCAGCTACTGAAGATCAGGAAAGATGTTAGACAAACGAAATAGGACTTAAGCAAAACAAAATTATATCACGTGATGACATCACTTAGTGGAGATGACGTGTCACTAGGTGGTAATGGCAATATCCAGGCTTATAACATTTAATTTTAAGTACAAATATTTTAAGATTTACCATTTTGCAAAAAATATGCCAGAGCCCTTTATCTTCATATAAAGATTTAATGCAGGCTTGTTTTACTGAATTGGTATTTTTCAACTTGAATCAAGTTCTTTACACACATGAACTAAATGGCCAATTCAAAAGTCCTAAATCTCTACATTCAGGATAACCATTCCAAACTTTGAACTACTGAATAGAATGATGACAATCAGCCAGAATAATAGTTTTGTCCAACTCTTACTTTTATAATGCCCCACACATAAAAGAGTGAAGTATATTCAGCGGCATCACATCTCAAACTTTGGACTTGTCAATTCAAAAATCAGTACATTAAGACAACATCCAGCCCTACTGGTTAAAAATCTTTGGGTACATGTTTTTAAGTGTGGAAGAGATAAGTCATTGCTTTGGTAAATCAACAGAAAGTAACATGCATATTAAAATGCAGGATGATACAACTCTCCACTCTATTACTATTAGCAGAATTATGCCTACCCTAGCTGCAAGTGCCAGAATAGCAAAATTGATACTGTCTTTCTCCAATCAATGTAAAATAGGCAATAAAGTATTTTCCCTTCAAAGTCTGGCTTTAGTGTTTGTAAAGCCAATTTAGGAAGTTTTTCCTAAGTTAAGAAGACAAATAAGGCTAGATCTTCTAGATCTTAGAGATGGAAGCAAGTGTTAGGACTCTTGTCCTTAAAGTACAGTTGAAAAGCTTATTTTTTGTGTCTGTTTAATATTCTGCACCTCACATTCAGTAAATAAACAGTGTTCATATAGAATAATTTTAATTGATGTATTCTTCTTGATTTTATTGTCCATTTTACAGACTCTGCCTCACATTTTCTATTTAAAAAAACAACAACACACAATGCAAATGTAAATAATTACTAAAAAATCAATATTTTAAAACACCATGCAATACTAAAAAAATCTAAAGTTAAAGTTTGGAGATGGCTTGATTGGGTAACAAAAATCTATTATTAATTAACAAATGTACCATTTTTCAATAGTCATCATCAGGTACATTACTGTGTTAATTCACTTGTTGGTTTCAAAGTTATTTTATTTCTGCTAAGTTGATGATGTGATTTATTATCAAGGACTTCAAATCACCAAAGCTAGTTTTCATAAGCCAATTGTTAATTCTGTCATTGTTGCACTGCTACTCCTACTCTCTTTATTGACAAAGAAAACAATCATTTAGGTATGATGACATGCAATATAATAGATTGGTGGGGGGAGGGATACGGGGTACAATTCAATCAATCTAGCTCTCCCACACAGTCCAAGATTGGTCATAATGTTAACCAGCTTGAACATTTTGAATTTTAATGCTACACTATGCTGAATATACACTTTCCTATTATGTAATTTAAGTCGAGAACAATTCACAATACTAGCCTACATTTGCAAGAACTGTACTGTATATGATAAACTGAGGAAATAGCATTGCCATACCTTTACATGATGGCTAACAACAAAAAATGTAAGTGATCCGATGTTTTCATAATATTTATCACTCCTTTTAGTACGTTTGATTTTTTAATTGGTTTTTCAAAACAATATTTATGACTGCTTTACTTATGGCAATCATTTAATTTATAGCAATCATCTTGTTAACTTTTACATGATTATTATGTTGAATCATGTGTGATCACTATTTATGGTAACTGTTTTTAACTTGTTTCTGAAAATTTCAAAATACACATTCATTTTATTATCCTTTTCATATTTTTCAACATGCTCACTCAATAAAACTCAACTGTTCATTGCATGTTCACTTTACCAAAGACTTTTTGACAACACAGAGAAAATTCAGAAAAATTAACTTTTTTGATGTTTGGAGGCTCTTTCTTCTCAAGCACTTTTCAGGAAAATAATTTTAAGGGCTTTTAAAGTTATGTATGTATATGAACCCCGATGTATAAACAAACATTACCTTTATGTCTACATCATGGCCCAATTAAAAGAAATTCAATTAGAAATAGATGAGCTATCTGGAAACCTTTCAGGCCCTATTTGTGTCAAGGGATAAAGTCAAGTTGGGTTGAGTATAGAAAGCCATAAGGTTATAATTATGATAGCAAAAAAAAAAAAAAAAAGTGGAGATAATGTTTAATTTTTCTCTAAAAAAAAAAATTATTTTAAATAAAAAAAAAAAAAAAAAAAAAGTGGAGATAATGGTTAG